CGGGGTGGAGGACAGGGGAGGAGCAGGCAGGAGCGGAGGAGAGGCACTGAAAGGAGGGTCCCACCCCAGGGGGAAGGGGGACAAGGCGGGCAGTCGCCCAACCGAGGGGGCGGGCTCCCAAGGTCTGAAAGGAGGAGTGGCGCAGGGATGCAGAGCCCCAGCAAAGGAGGACCGGGTCAGAGGGGAGGAGGACGTGGGGCGGGGACACCCACGGGGAGGCTGGCCGACCCCCCAGGAAGACGCTCGGGGCCTCCCAGCACGCTGCCGCCCCCTGCTGGAGTCCCGGGAGTGCAGCCAGGCAGGGAGAAGCGAGGAACCGCAGTCCCGCTGAAAACTGGGACTGGAGTCCAGGCAGGTAGGCAGAAAAGAGGAGGCTGCAAACTGGGATGAGTGTGAGGAAGGGGTGGAGGACACATCCACAGCCTGGGAAGGACTCCTGTGAGGGCAGAGGAAGGAAGGGGCTGCAGGGAGGGTTGCCCAGCTCACCTGAGTGTGGCGTTCGGTTCACTGGCAGCAGGAAAGACGGGGATCAGAGAAGAGTTACCAGGGCGCCCGGCTTCCCAGGCCTGCGCCCAAGCCCCCTCCCACACCTGTCCGTGTCGAAGACTGGGGAGAGCAGAAGCCTGTGCTTCAGCGGGGAGGGTGCCTGAGAATAAGAGCAAGGTGGGGCTGGGGGTCAGGACTTGTGCAGTCTCTTTTTTTATTTTTCATAGGACAACAGAATTTGAGAGGGAAGCCCAACAGCTAAGGCAGAGTGGGTTCTGGTTTTGTGGAGCCTACACATTATAAAATGTAGGGGGTTTCTCTTTGCGCAAAAAAATTACAAGTTCAATTGGTTTTAAGCAACTGCCACTAAAATATTATATTTTTGCAATTTTTACAAAAAACTGACTGCCACATGTGACATGCTTAGAGCCCTCTGTGGTTAAAGCAGAGAGGGACATCTAAGGAAGTGGAGATTAAGCTTTCAGTAGCTTCATACTAAACCCACCCCTGAATAGGTCACCCCATTTCCAGAATAAAGCAATAAATTAGAAAAAGAACAACTTGAGTAAGTTGAAGAATGACAGGACTGAGATGCTAAAAGTACCTTACAGGGGTAGAAGCAGCATGAAGCACAGAAATGGAGCTGCTGCATCCCAGGAGAGAGCACTACAGAGGGAGAGTCTGCATGCCCAGAAAAAGAAGTCTGCAGACCTAGCTGGCAACAAAGGTGGGAGGCACCACAGATGAGTCCCTTGGAGAATGACAGGAGGCTGTCTAAAAGATCTGGTCTCCTCCCATCCCACCCCTGAGCTGTTCCCCCAATTTTGAGTCCCTTTACACTAATACATTTCCACACCCAGGTTCCTTATCAATTTTTGTTGTGGTCTGTTTGTTTTATACTGGAGAATAAACCCAGGGCCTTTGCAATGAACTACATCCCCAGTACCATCCCCCCCTTTTTTTTATTTGAGACAGTATCTCACTAATCACTATTAAACTGCCAAGAATAGCCGGGTGTGGGGGTGCATGCTTGTAATCCCACCACTCAGGAGGCTGAGGCAGGAGGATCGCTGTGAGTTCGAGGCCAGCCTGGGCTACACAGTGAGTTCCAGGTCAGTCTCAACTTCATAGTGAGACCCTGTCTCAAAAAAACAAACAAACAAACAAAAAAACTGCCCAGGTTGTCTTGAACTTGTGATCCTCCTGCCTCAGTCTCCCAGAGAGCTGGGATTACAGGCATGCAAACTGGACTATCAGGTTTTGGTTTTTGGTTTTTTTGCTTTTTTTGGTACCAGGGATCAAACTCGACCTTAATGCTTTTGAGGCAGGTGGTGGAACCACCACTGAGCTAAATCCCCGGCCCCTTGGACTATCAGTTTTTATGAAAACAACGTAGGAATTAATTCTGAATCTTTACAATAATTCTCTTATAGAATGAGTGGTGGAGGATCGATTCTAAAAGAGGTGAGGCGGAGAAGGTTGTGAGTTTAGAAAAAGGGGATTAGTCTAGGGAAAACTGTAGTATTTAAACCTTAAGGTGAGAGAGGGTGGGGTTCACCAAGGAAAATAAAAAGCAAGACCCAAGAAGTGGGAGCAGGAAGAAGACAAGAGAAGAAGAAAGAAGCCACTAACGTAGGTAGAGCAGATACTGGGGCTGCGGGAGGAGGTGTGAGGCAGGTGGATGGTGGAAAAGTTGGGCTCTTCCCGCCGCCTTTCCAAGCCCTCCCACTGTTCGCAGCACCCCACCCATTCCCCCACTCCCATCATCAAGTGTCCTCATCAGCTGCACGCGGCCAGCTGGTCCCCTCACCCTGGCAGTGGGGCTTGGGGGTGCTCCACTGGCCCTGACTACAGATGCTCCGGGAGCTGCCCACCAGATGGAAGTCGGGGTCACACCGGAAATCCACCCGGGCTCCGTCCAGAGCTGGGAGGTCCCCACCCGTCAGGAAAACCTTCCCATTTTCCAGGGTCAAGTAAGACTTGGAGCAGATTCGGACTGTGGAGAGACGGGAAAATGAGAAGAGAGGCGAGTTGGAGAAGGTCACTTTCCCTGAGAGAGCAAGTGTGGGTTTGGGTCCACAAGCACCCTGCTTTACAGAAAACCAGGTGTCAAAAGGCTTTGTATCCCTACTCCTCCCTTAACCCTGCACACATCCACACATTCCAAAACAAGACACAGCATTTCCACTGCAAGAACCCAAGATGGAGCTCTAAGCACACAAAATGGGATCTCCTCTCAGACTGCTGTAGTGGGCGGTTCTCTGACAGTGGAATGTGTAGATGTACTGTATATAACTTTGTATGCACAAGCAGATTTGCTTTTCTTATCACGGTTGGTTCACATTAATATCAAACTTGTGTTGGGTTCCAAAGCGTACCATCTCTGAGTTGGTGTCAGAATTGTTAGGAAATGTAGTGAAATCATTTCAGAGGATTTTCTTTTTTAATAATCTGCTACCTCAAAGAGAGTAACTTATAAAGTGAATAATAAAATTGTTTCATCCAATGATCAAGAGCCTAAGGACGGGAAGATAAAAGGAAATGTGCAGGCTTCTAGCTTTACTACCTCCAACTGCACCCAGCAGCATCCTTTTGGCAAAGGGTAGTAGTAATCCTTCATTAAATGAATTTGTGAACTCGGTCACACAGGACTTAAAGTGCTGACTTGCAAGCAGTAAGGCTAAACTGGAGCAGGAAAAGGAAAGGTCTCCAGGGAGCAGGGGCTCCGAGGGGACTCACCACAGCGGCTGGGGGTGTCCATGTCCGTCCAGGAGCCGTTGGCCAGGCACTTTCGAACCTTGGGCCCCACAACCTCGCGCTCCCCGCGGCATACATACTCGATCTCATAGTCCACGGGCAGGAAGTTGATGGCCTTCACCTGGTCCCGAGTGAGACCCCGGTACCGGATGCCCCCTTCCCAGGGCGGGTGTATGATCTGGCAACCTGGGGGTGAGTCGGGGAGGCACACAGAGAGGGAAGGTGGGACATGGCCGGGCAGGCTGGGCTGGCTGCAGGAGACAGGGGACAGCAGGGCGTGGTCAGCAGGGTGGGGTGGGGACAGGTACCGAGCCAGCCGGCCCAAAGGGGGCCAAAGGACAGGACTGAGGGAGGGAAGGGCCTGGTTGGGGGCACTGGAGGAGCGATGAAGTAATCGCGAAGGGTATGACATGTGGGTGGCACCTGGCAAGAAAGAGGGGCCTAGGCGAGGCTCTGTGAGTTAGAGGAGAAGAGGACCTTATGGCTATCTCCTAATGGGACCGAGGAAGGGGAGGAATCGCGGTCATGTGGGGCTGAGTAAATAATTCGGAGTCACAGAAAGGCGGTGTGGTGTAGCAACGTGGAAGAGAGAAAAAGGGTGCTGGGTAGCAATGTGGGGTGACAGAAAAGAGGTCAGGAGTCGTTGAGTGGCGTGGGGCCCTGGGGACAGACGAGGCTGCAGGCTGAGGACCGGGCCGGGGCGGCGGAGGGATTGGGCCCGCGTCGCCGGGGAGAAGGCTGCACCTTCCGAGGTGGCGTTGGG